CTCGGCGTGCTCGCGTGGAAGCTCGAGCGTCCGTTTCTGGTGTTTGCGTCGAGCGTCGTGGGGGCGATCGCGACGGTGTGGGGCATTGGCTTCTTTGCCGGCGGGTACCCGAACGCCGGCAACCTCAAGGCGACCGTCTCGGCGGGTGGCGACTGGGTCTACGACATCCCGAGCTCGTGGTGGTACTACCTCGCGGCGACGATCGTGCTGTGCGGTCTCGGCATCTTTTTCCAGTTCAAGGAGTTCAACAAGGACCGCATGTTGCGCCAGGACGGCGCGTATGCGGCGGCGGCAACCCCTCGCCGTGGCGACCCGATTCGCCATGTCTAAGTGCTGTGTATATCTAATACGTCTATATCATCTCTTTTCTATAACCCTGCGTCCTCACGTGGAATGCACTCAGACGGCAGGTAGAGAAGGTTCTTGGGGAAGGGTCCTCCCAACATGCATGACTTTGAATGGACGAATGTACTAGTACGTATTAGCAGAGCGTGAATAGACTGGCAGTGCGCTTCTTTGGCGGTAGCGCTGTCGCCTGCATCTGATAGCATGTGCCAAGTACGCACAAGACGACGGTTCCCACGACGTAGCCCCACCACGAGTACGGAATGTCGACGCTCACGGTACCGTTCTTGAGCGACTGGGGCAAGCTCGTCGCGTTCGGGTACCCGCCAGCAAAGAAACCAACGCCCCACGTGATCATGATGGCGCCAAACGCGCTCATCGCAAAAATCACAAACGGCCGCTCGAGCACGAGCGCGAGAATACCAAAGAGGATGCTAAAGACGACCAAGAGGACGTTGAGCACGATCTGCGGGTTCGCAGGAAGTAGCTTGTAGCCACACGACGTATGAAGCACCGTGGCGAAGAGCGCACCGGCGACAGCGCCAAGTGCCGCGATTCCGATATGGTGCAAATACACGAGGACGAAGCCACAGAGGAGACCGCCCAGTAAGAACGCGACCCAGCACGCGATGGCGAGATCGGGCTTGGTACGGAGGAGCGTCTCGGCGCCAATGAAGCCGGCGACCGCGCCAATAATGAAGCCCGCAACAAAAATGGCAGGCCGAAGCAGCTTGAAGCCGAAGAACGTGATGACGACGCCAATGGCCATGGCCGCGGCGGCGATCGCACTGGGACCGAGACCGATATTCGACTGGCGAAGGCCGTCCCAGTGCAGAATTTGGTTGATTTGCGCGTCAAAAGTGCTGTTGCCGGGGACTGAGAGCTGGGCCGAGACACCCGCAATGAGCGTGTAGAGGATCGAGATGAGGATGGCGGGCATCCTGACGCGAGATGGGAAAAGGCAGAGTGCGATACCCCTCGGTGCACCATTGATACTTGGATGCCGCAGTGCGCCTAGCTTAGTTTCTAGCTCGTGGCGTCGGCGAGGCGTGTTGCTTGATCGAACGTCCGCATGGCCTTCGATAAGCGCGCGCGTCACGGAAAAATGGAGCCCTGCCAAAAATCAAGACAATACT